CGGAGCCCAGTGCAGGTTTTCCCATGGAGAGGCAGGAGGGACTCAGTGGGCAGTGCTGGTTCAGCTGACACTGCTCCCCAGCAGGGACCCAGCGCCGGGCCGGGGGCTGCAAAGGCAATTCAATAATATACTGATAAATAACACGAGCCCAGGAGGGAGAAAGCGTGTGATGTGGCCACAAGAACAAGCCAAAAGCTGCCCAAGGTAGCCCAGGTGAGGTGGGGGAAAGCCCAGAGCACAGTAGGGGCCTCCAAAACCCCTGAAGTTCAGGAAAAAACCTCAATTCAGTTGGCCTAAGTTGGGGTTTGTTTCCCAGCCCAAGGTGGAGCTCAGCCCCTCGGGCAGCACGGGAACCCCAATGCTGATGCACAACAGCCTCAGCCTAGAAAGGAAGAAAACAAGAGCAAAGAAAAGCTTTTAATTGTAATTTGCTTTATTATTCTGTAAATGTGAATTTTACAAAGCGTTTTACAATTAATGATCACATCAGGTTTGGTTGGTTGGGTTGGTTTGTTGTTTTTTTTTTAAATGGATTTTTCATCATATGAAACCAGCTCTGAGCCCAGTTCCAACTCGGGGGATCCTCATCTTTCCTCTCTTCTTTTTGCTTTTAGTTATTGATATTTCGTGTCAGCCATGGCTACAAAATAACAGTCTTAACTATACAGAGTAAGAGCACATAAATACTAGTGAATAATGCACAATAAAAAATCATAACAAAGAAACAAATAAAAGCAGCTAGCATCCTTCGTGGCTGAGACAGCTGAGGAACATAATTCAGTGGTACTGTGAGATTTCCTTACAGCACAGAAAGTATTTTTAACAGTCATGAATTACAGTACTACTTCAGACCCTATGAAGACTCTTTAAAAACAACCTTGTACTTGAAGTCCTTTTTTTTGTTCTCTCCCCCCCCACCCCGACATTCTGTCCAAAGGATTAATGCTCTATTTGAATCAAGTGCCATCCCAATGTTCAAGTCAAAAATATTTATACATTTATAACTCAGTTGGTTTTTTTTTTATTTATTATTATTAATTTTTTTATTTTATTTTTATTTTTTTTTGTCTGCTAAAAATAGTATTGCAAGGTTTGGCTTTTTTTTTTTTTTTGTTTTTTTTTTTTTTTTTTTTTTTTTTTTTTTTTTTTTTTTTTTTTTTTTTTTTTTTTTCACTTTTT